TAATGACTATATATTGATGCAGTACTTGATGCAGTAATGACTATATATTGATGCAGTAACAAATGTTTCTGCAGCGTAAAGAGATGGTGAACGATCTGGACGGTCCGTTCAGGAAGACCTTCAGCCCTGAGAACCTGTCCGCGTTCAGCTGGGATAAGACTACTTCCTGGGCCGAGGAGAAGGCCCCCCTGACTGTGGCCTGTCTCAGGTCCATGTTCCCCCCCGCCAAGAAGATCCAGAAACAGATCGTGAACTACAGCCCAGGGAACAAACCCCGGTGGGTTCTGTGTGGCGTTCTTTAGGTTCCTACAAGGCTCTCTCGGTTCCTTCGGGATCCTAAATCTGTGCTGTTCCAGGCGGATGTCGGACGAGGAGGCGAAGCAGATGCTGGACCGGAGGATCGGCCTCCTGCTCTCGGTGCCGCTGTACACCAGCACCCTCAGGGCCTGCTTCCTCCAGACGCCTTCAGCGTGGAGATGCTGCGACACCGCTGCCCCGTCAAAGTCTTCGCATCATGAACGGCCTCGCATCTCGCAGTCCAAAACCACCGCCATGGTCCACGCCAAGAAGCTCGCCGGGAGCACGGCAGGCAGGTGAAGCAGTGGAGGGACGAGATCCAGGTGAGGAGCCAAGTCCTCCTTCTTCTTGTGTCTCAGCATTCGTGGTTTGTTGATGTGTTTTTGTTTCAGAACGGGTCGAGCTGCTGATTTTTATAGTTAGATCTACTTCAGAACACCTGACAGAAGGTCAGCCAGTCAGACCGGTCTTGGTGTCTGACTTGATCGAGTAAATTTGTTTTCAACCTGCCGGTGAGTAAGGTAACAGATATCTCCATGAAACCTTAATTACTCTCAATAAGACCATATTTATTTGCATTACACGTTTTCTGAAATCTTATGTTTAAATAAGCAAATGAGGCAGTATCTCATTAAATATGCGCAAATTTGCATCTATTTTAAGAGCTGAACTCTCAACTAAGTCAGGTTCAAATGATGCTTTTATTTTGTTGACACATTAGACTCAAATGATTTTGCTGAGGGAGCCTGGATATCTGTCGACAGGCAGGAAAAACGATTTCGCCATGTTCCTGGGAATAAAATGTTCCATATTTCAGGTGTGGATGATAATGAACCAAAGCCTCTTTGTGCGTCACAACATGTCAGTGTTTATTTTCTTCTTAGATGACAGGGTTGAGAAGAAATTAATTGCACAAACTAAATATTTAACCGGGGTTTTAAATGCAAAAATATTCAGCTAAGCCAAAGATCCAAGTCTCTCTGGGCATGAACACATCAGAGTATGAGGGCAGGCGGCGCTCTCTGTTACAGCCTCTGAAGAATGGAAGCTGCGAGAAGCAAATACTTTTGGCGAATAGACGATCACTACGACTTTAGCCGGTCTGCAGATTTTCTCAGGTTGTTGTTCTCTGTTGTTATTTGACTTGATGTGGATCTTCGCTGAAGGAAGACATGTCGGTGCATCGTGATAAACCCTGCGTCTGCCCGCGCCGTCTCGCCTCAGAGAGGAAATTCTTCTTCTCTTTCAGATGACGAGAAAGACGCAGTACTGCAGCGTCGACTCCGGGAAGGCGGCGGCTTACACCTTCACCTGGGGGAACGTTCGGGTAAGAACGCCTGTGGCTGAACACCTCTTCGCAGAAGCTGTTGTCTCTGAATGAAGACAGAACGTCTCTGTGCCGCAGGTGCCGTCCGTGTCCCGGTCCGACTCGGCGGAACGAGGCTACGGCTTCGCGACGTGGGCGTTTCGCTTCGCTCATCGAGTTCGGATTAACTTCCGTAACCTGCACGGACCTCCGGCGAAAGCAGCGGACGTGTCTCCGTCCAGCATCCTGCCGTCCAAACAGGTGCGCGCACTTTAAAAGGAGCCAATCGGAGAGCTGTTTTCTAACAGGGACGGTTCATGATCTGTAGAAGTGAGTATGAAACAGCACGCAGGAACATCAGCTCCTCCTGGACGCCACCGCGTGTAGTTTAAATATCCGGATGTCCGGTGTGCGTACAGGACAGAGCTGACTGACACGCAGCTAGTTAACGTCGCACTCGTTAATCTGTATTACAGCTTTTATACATCCAGAGAACTTCTACAGACGCCAGACCAGGCGTCTCATGGCGGCCCGGAAACAATACGCTGATGATGTCACTGATCATCAATACAGAATTTAGGCAAATAAATATTAAAGTCATCGTGACGGATCAGAAAACTCAGTTCATGTGAAACGACCCAAAGAGCCTCCTCTTCCTCCTCCTCTTCCTCCTCCTGCTGCTCCTCTTCTTCCTCCTGCTGCTGCTCCTCCTCTTCCTCCTCTTCTTCCTCCTGCTGCTCCTCTTCTTCCTCCTGCTGCTGCTCCTCCTCTTCCTCCTCTTCTTCCTCCTCCTCCTCTTCTTCCTCCTGCTGCTCCTCCTCTTCCTCCTGCTGCTCCTCCTCTTCCTCCTGCTGCTCCTCCTCTTCTTCCTCCTCCTCCTCTTCCTCCTGCTGCTCCTCCTCTTCCTCCTCTTCTTCTCCTGCTGCTCCTTTTCCTCCTGCTGCTCCTCCTCTTCCTCCTCTTCTTCCTCCTCCTCCTCTTCTTCCTCCTGCTGCTCCTCCTCTTCCTCCTCCTCTTCCTCCTCCTCCTCCTCCTCTTCCTCCTCCTCTTCCTCCTCCTCCTCTTCCTCCTCCTGCTGCTCCTCTTCCTCCTGCTGCTCCTCCTCTTCCTCCTCCTCCTCCTTTTCCTCCTGCTGCTGCTCCTCTTCCTCTTCCTCCTCCTCCTCTTCTTCCTCCTGCTGCTCCTCCTCTTCCTCCTCCTCCTCCTTTTCCTCCTGCTGCTCCTCTTCCTCTTCCTCCTCCTCTTCCTCTTCCTCCTGCTGCTCCTCCCCCCCTCTTCCTCTTCCTCCTGCTGCTCCTCCCCCCCTCTTCCTCTTCCTCCTGCTGCTCCTCCTCCTTTCCTCCTGCTGCTCCTCCTCCTCCTCCTCCTCTTCCTCCTCCTCCTCCCGCTCCTCCTGCTGCTCCTCCTCTTCCTCCTCCTCTTCCTCCTCCTGCTCCTCCCCCCTCCTCCTCCTCTTCTTCTTCCTCCTCCTCCTCAGACGTACGAGTCGCTGCGGCGGCGAATGAAAACCTTAGTGATGCGAATCATCGCCGACAGCCTGACGGCCCTGAAGGGCCCCAGAGGACGAGTGGCGAGACACATTCCTCACGTCTACTCCGAGCTGATGAAGGCGCCGAGCACCACGGTGAGTCCGGCCCGTCTGAAGAGTCCCATGAATACCAGGAAGGTGTGAACAGCGGAGCTGTTGTCCCCCCTCAGGTGAGTCTGGGTGCAGCGATCCCAAACTCCACGGAGGAGTCTGTCGGCGCCGCCTACGGCCTGACAGACTACATCCCCGTGGTCTCCGGGAAGCCGTACCACATCCTGTACTGCGGGGACGTCCTCAGCCCGGACGGGACCGAGCGCCGCGAAGATCCCGACCCGAAGCCCGACCTGAAGTTTGATGGACTCGTAGAAGCACCGCAGGAGTTTCAGAAGGAACACCTGTTCCACGAGGTGAGGAGCACGCCAGCGACTATTTGTTTGATGTTTGTGAAAATGATTACAGGAAGTTCATCAGCTGCTCCAGCTGAAAACACTTTGATCCAGTGATGATGTGTTTTCAGGACATGATGAAGATGCTTCTCAGCGAGAAAAGTGAGAACGCTCGAGGAACCCTTCATCACATCACCTCCCTGTTTCACTTCAAGACGTTCAACAGCACCGCCAAAGACTACTTCCTCAACATCTGGGACTTCATTACGGTAAAACTCCTGAAGTCAGGTGACCTACCGAGCCTGCGTGTCGCTCATGATCCCGTTCTGTACATATTCATGTTCCCACAGGAAGAACCCTCTCGTGTCGTCGTCGGTCAAAAAAGTTTCAGCTCAACTAAAATTTACATTGATGAAATTAAAACTGGTCTAACAGCTACTTGTCAGACTGTCCTGAGGGGGAACGCAGAACACGAAGTGAGGGTTTCGCACGGCGCGATTACGTACAAACTCAACGCAAAGACGCGAGTGAGAAAATTCACGTGAAATGTTCAGAGAAAAGGAAGAGAGGAAGTTAAACTAGCTGTAAGATCAGGAAATATGAGTCTGTTTTACTGTGAAACACGTTCAAACCAAACTCCATTCAGAAAAGAAGCATTTTAAAAGCTGTGTGCTTGTCATCTGGCAGACCTGACAGAGCAGGAAGTCACATGTTCGTGACGTCGTTAGTTCAGCATCTGTTTATTGAAACTAAATCACAGCTAAATGTTTATTTCGGGTTCTTCCGGCTGCAGTAAACCGGATTAGGGCAGAAGTCCAGCGGTCCTTCACGACCAACATGAAGCTAAAAATTCACGCTGACATTTTTCCGTTTCGCCGTGACATTCTGCTTCCTGAAGTACGTGTTTATATTTGACAGTTTGTGACGACGGCGTACGTGACTCTGTTCGCTGTGACGGACTGCGGTCTGGACTCTGTGGACCAGAGACCCTCAGATTACCCCTCTCAGGTCTCCGCTCAGATGGACTGGCTAAGCGGGCTGGCTCACAGACTGCTGGATCTGGTGTGGATGCCTCCATCTCAGGAGGACATCAACGCCGCCGCCGCCGCTGCAGGTCGCTGCGACGGAGAGAAGAAAATATCCCCCTTCTGTTACTGTAAAGAAGGTAAAAGGCCGGACAGGCGAGGGTTCACGTGACTGTCTTTAACTCGTCTCCGTCTGTCTTTAACTCCTCCTGTCTCCGTCTGTCTTTAACTCGTCTCCGTCTGTCTTTAACAACGTCTGTCTTTAACTCCTCCTGTCTCCGTCTGTCTTTAACAACGTCTGTCTTTAACTCCTCCTGTCTCCGTCTGTCTTTAACAACGTCTGTCTTTAACTCCTCCTGTCTCAGTCTGTCTTTAACTCCTCCTGTCTCCGTCTGTCTTTAACTCGTCTCCGTCTGTCTTTAACAACGTCTGTCTTTAACTCCTCCTGTCTCCGTCTGTCTTTAACTCGTCTCAGTCTGTCTTTAACTCCTCCTGTCTCCGTCTGTCTTTAACTCGTCTCAGTCTGTCTTTAACTCCTCCTGTCTCCGTCTGTCTTTAACTCCTCCTGTCTCCGTCTGTCTTTAACTCCTCCTGTCTCCGTCTGTCTTTAACTCGTCTCCGTCTGTCTTTAACTCCTCCTGTCTCCGTCTGTCTTTAACTCGTCTCCATCTGTCTTTAACAACGTCTGTCTTTAACTCCTCCTGTCTCCGTCTGTCTTTAACTCGTCTCAGTCTGTCTTTAACTCCTCCTGTCTCCGTCTGTCTTTAACTCGTCTCAGTCTGTCTTTAACTCCTCCTGTCTCCGTCTGTCTTTAACTCGTCTCAGTCTGTCTTTAACTCGTCTCAGTCTGTCTTTAACTCCTCCTGTCTCTGTCTGTCTTTAACTCGTCTCCGTCTGTCTTTAACTCATCTCCGTCTGTCTTTAACTCCTCCTGTCTCCGTCTGTCTTTAACTCATCTCCGTCTGTCTTTAACTCCTCCTGTCTCCGTCTGTCTTTAACTCGTCTCCGTCTGTCTTTAACTCGTCTCCGTCTGTCTTTAACTCCTCCTGTCTCCGTCTGTCTTTAACTCATCTCCGTCTGTCTTTAACTCCTCCTGTCTCCGTCTGTCTTTAACTCGTCTCCGTCTGTCTTTAACAACGTCTGTCTTTAACTCCTCCTGTCTCCGTCTGTCTTTAACTCGTCTCCGTCTGTCTTTAACAACGTCTGTCTTTAACTCCTCCTGTCTCCGTCTGTCTTTAACTCGTCTCAGTCTGTCTTTAACTCCGTCTGTCTTTAACTCCTCCTGTCTCCGTCTGTCTTTAACTCGTCTCCGTCTGTCTTTAACTCCTCCTGTCTCCGTCTGTCTTCAACTCGTCTCCGTCTGTCTTTAACTCCTCCTGTCTCCGTCTGTCTTTAACTCCGTCCGTCTCTGTCTGTCTTTAAGTCCGTCTGTCTTTAACTCATCCGTCCGTCTTTAACTCCGTCCATCTGTCTTTAACTCGTCTCCGTCCGTCTTTAACTCCGTCCGTCTGTCTTTAACTCGTCTCCGTCCGTCTTTAACTCCGTCCGTCTCCGTCCGTCTTTAACTCGTCTCCGTCCGTCTTTAACTCCGTCTGTCTTTAACTCCGTCCGTCTCCGTCTGTCTTTAACTCCTCCTGTCTCCGTCTGTCTTTAACTCGTCTCCGTCTGTCTTTAACTCCTACTGTCTCCGTCTGTCTTTAACTCCTCCTGTCTCCGTCTGTCTTCAACTCGTCTCCGTCTGTCTTTAACTCCTCCTGTCTCCGTCTGTCTTTAACTCGTCTCCGTCCGTCTTTAACTCCGTCCGTCTCCGTCCGTCTTTAACTCGTCTCCGTCCGTCTTTAACTCCGTCTGTCTTTAACTCCGTCCGTCTCCGTCTGTCTTTAACTCCTCCTGTCTCCGTCTGTCTTTAACTCGTCTCCGTCTGTCTTTAACTCCTCCTGTCTCCGTCTGTCTTTAACTCCTCCTGTCTCCGTCTGTCTTCAACTCGTCTCCGTCTGTCTTTAACTCCTCCTGTCTCCGTCTGTCTTCAACTCGTCTCCGTCTGTCTTTAACTCCTCCTGTCTCCGTCTGTCTTTAACTCCGTCCGTCTCTGTCTGTCTTTAAGTCCGTCTGTCTTCAACTCGTCTCCGTCCGTCTTTAACTCCGTCCGTCTGTCTTTAACTCGTCTCCGTCTGTCTTTAACTCCTCCTGTCTCCGTCTGTCTTTAACTCTCTCCGTCTGTCTTTAACTCCTCCTGTCTCCGTCTGTCTTTAACTCGTCTCCGTCTGTCTTTAACTCCTCCTGTCTCCGTCTGTCTTCAACTCGTCTCCGTCTGTCTTTAACTCCTCCTGTCTCCGTCTGTCTTTAACTCCGTCCGTCTCTGTCTGTCTTTAAGTCCGTCTGTCTTCAACTCGTCTCCGTCCGTCTTTAACTCCGTCCGTCTGTCTTTAACTCCTCCTGTCTCCGTCTGTCTTTAACTCGTCTCCGTGTGTCTTTAACTCCTCCTGTCTCCGTCTGTCTTTAACTCGTCTCCGTGTGTCTTTAACTCCTCCTGTCTCCGTCTGTCTTTAACTCGTCTCCGTGTGTCTTTAACTCCTCCTGTCTCCGTCTGTCTTTAACTCATCTCCGTGTGTCTTTAACTCCTCCTGTCTCCGTCTGTCTTTAACTCGTCTCCGTCTGTCTTTAACAACGTCTGTCTTTAACTCCTCCTGTCTCCGTCTGTCTTTAACTCGTCTCAGTCTGTCTTTAACTCCGTCTGTCTTTAACTCCTCCTGTCTCCGTCTGTCTTTAACTCCTCCTGTCTCCGTCTGTCTTCAACTCGTCTCCGTCTGTCTTTAACTCCTCCTGTCTCCGTCTGTCTTTAACTCCGTCTGTCTTTAACTCATCTCCGTCCGTCTTTAACTCCGTCCGTCTGTCTTTAACTCGTCTCCGTCCGTCTTTAACTCCGTCCGTCTGTCTTTAACTCGTCTCCGTCCGTCTTTAACTCCGTCCGTCTCCGTCCGTCTTTAACTCGTCTCCGTCCGTCTTTAACTCCGTCTGTCTTTAACTCCGTCCGTCTCCGTCTGTCTTTAACTCCTCCTGTCTCCGTCTGTCTTTAACTCGTCTCCGTCTGTCTTTAACTCCTCCTGTCTCCGTCTGTCTTCAACTCGTCTCCGTCTGTCTTTAACTCCTCCTGTCTCCGTCTGTCTTTAACTCGTCTCCGTCCGTCTTTAACTCCGTCCGTCTCCGTCCGTCTTTAACTCGTCTCCGTCCGTCTTTAACTCCGTCTGTCTTTAACTCCGTCCGTCTCCGTCTGTCTTTAACTCCTCCTGTCTCCGTCTGTCTTTAACTCGTCTCCGTCTGTCTTTAACTCCTCCTGTCTCCGTCTGTCTTTAACTCCTCCTGTCTCCGTCTGTCTTTAACTCCTCCTGTCTCCGTCTGTCTTCAACTCGTCTCCGTCTGTCTTTAACTCCTCCTGTCTCCGTCTGTCTTTAACTCCGTCCGTCTCTGTCTGTCTTTAAGTCCGTCCGTCTTCAACTCGTCTCCGTCCGTCTTTAACTCCGTCCGTCTGTCTTTAACTCGTCTCCGTGTGTCTTTAACTCCTCCTGTCTCCGTCTGTCTTAACTCGTCTCCGTGTGTCTTTAACTCCTCCTGTCTCCGTCTGTCTTTAACTCGTCTCCGTGTGTCTTTAACTCCTCCTGTCTCCGTCTGTCTTTAACTCATCTCCGTCTGTCTTTAACTCGTCTCAGTCTGTCTTTAACTCATCTCCGTCTGTCTTTAACTCATCTCCGTCTGTCTTTAACTCCTCCTGTCTCCGTCTGTCTTTAACTCCGCCTGTCTCCGTCTGTCTTTAACTCCGCCTGTCTCCGTCTGTCTCCTCTCAGAGAAAGCAGGTGAGCAGCTGGTTCGGTGCTGCAGTAATCTGTGTCCAGGGATCTGGTTCCATGAGAGCTGTGCTCGAGCTCAGACCCTCTCTGACCCGCATGAGGACTGGTTCTGCGGTCCGGGTTGCAGCGCAGACGGGACCTACGTGTACTGTCACTGTAAGGAGCGGAGGGGGGGGCAGATGGTCCAGTGCGGCCGGACGGACAAGTGCAGGAGACACGAGTGGTACCACCGAGACTGTCTGACCGCGGCCCAGCGGAGCGGCGCCGAGCAGAGTGAGACGCTCAGCCGCACACGAGAGCGAGCGAAACGCTAAGGCGCTGAGTTAGCTGTACAACTAAATGTAGATGTAGAGTAATGCAGTACAAGTACGCAGCGTTAACGGTCTGGTTCTGTTCCGAAGGACCAGACTGATGGTTTTTGGTGGTTTTATGTTCCAGCTCCGTGGTTCTGCTCAGAGTCCTGCTCCATGGCGGAGGACGGCGAGGACTTCCTGTTTAACTACACGAGGGCGGTGGTGTGGGAGGGGCTCTACCACATGGCCAGGCGGGACGCCATCCAGGAGGGGGACGGAGACGCCATGGCGGACTTCTGGAGGATGGACCTGGTTCTGCTGTGGAACAGAGAACACCTGCAGCTCTTCAACAGCAGCCACCACATGATCACAGGTACGGCGCCAACAAGCGTGTCATTCACGTGGGGAGGAGCTAATGGCTGTTGTCATGGTTACCGTGTGTGAACAGGGATGGAGGGGTTCTACCCGGAGCGCGTCAGGCAGGACCTGAAGTGGAACCGAGTGTTGAACCTTCAGGGAACATCTGGAGGGAACATCAGCCCGGACCTGCTCACAGAGCTGCTGATCAGCGAGTCCAAAGGTGATTCACACACCTGCACGTCTGCTCAGCCAATCAGGTGGAAGGAGGATTCAGATCCTTCACTGATGGAAAAGTAGGAAAACCACAGTACTCAAAGTACTCAAAGTACTCGCCGTGGGTCCAGTATATGATTCAGCAGACGGTCCTTGACACAACGTTATATTAGGAGATTATGTCCCTCAGGAGTCTGAATCAGAGAGTTCTGGTCTTGAGTGAAGCAGATTTAGTCCTGAGAATGTCCATGAATCCCCTCGTGTCTAACGAAGGCTTCCTGTCCGCAGGTGGGATCGAGTTCGGTAAAGGCAGCTTCACGAAGCAGCAGGTGGAGCAGAGCGCCCAGCTGGCCGGCGCTCAGGCCAAAGACCTGGACCGGATCTTCTTCACTCGGGGAAACCCTCTGAACCTGTCCGCGTACCTGTCGCGCCTCACGTCCTCGTCCCGCGGGAGGACGGCGGACGTGTCCAAGTTCGTGGAGGAGTTTAAGAAGGACGAGCTGTTCGACTTCAAACCGGGAAGAAGACACCAGGGCTTCAACAAGTTCAGCTACCAGCAGAGAGTCAGGACCCCCAAGAGGATGGGGAGGAGCCTGAGGGCCCTGTCTGAGGAGCTGGACCGCCGGAGAGACCAGATCCTCTGAGAGCGACGAGTCACGTGACATCAGCGATGCCACTTCTGTAGATGAACTAACGCATTTAGCTTGTTTATTCCTTTTCTCTGCTAATGTCCACTAATCTGTTTAGAAATAAGAGGTTCTCAGTAAAGACGAGGCGTCCCCTCTTTCTGTCACGTGTCTTTTATGTGTGTCGTCGTTTCAGCAAAGTGCTTCTCTGTCTGCTGCAATAAAACCACGTTCGGTTTGAGCTGCAGCTGAAGAGACGAACTTTGTTTTTTAACCTTTATTCGAGAACAACGGCGAGCTGGTCGACATGCAGAACAAGTAGCTTCACGTGAAGGACGAAGACGAGCACCAGGTGGAGAAAAGGTCAGTAGATAATGAAACGTGTCACGCTGAGGTCAGTGGGCCTGTACCAAAGAAAAGCTCACGTGAACTCACCGAGTGCGGCGCTCATCCAGGAGACGTGAGGCTCCACGTCGTCCGTCAGCTCGGGAAGCTCATCGAGCAGGTTAGAGCACTGCTTCTGGACGTAGAGGACCCCACGCTGCTGCACCTGGGGGGGGACAGAGGACGGGTACAGACAGAGGACAGGTAGAGACAGGACAGGTAGAGACTCAGAGGACAGGTACAGACAGGACAGGTAGAGACTCAGAGGACGGGTAGAGACACAGAGGACGGGTAGAGACAGGTGAGGTAGAGACAGAGGACAGGTAGAGACTCAGAGGACGGGTAGAGACAGGACAGGTAGAGACACAGAGGACGGGTAGAGACTCAGAGGACGGGTAGACAGGTGAGGTAGAGACAGAGGACAGGTAGAGAAAGGTGAGGTAGAGACAGAGAGGACAGGTAGAGACTCAGGACGGGTAGAGACAGGACGGGTAGAGACTCAGAGGACGGGTAGAGACTCAGAGGACGGGTAGAGACAGGTGAGGTAGAGACAGAGGACAGGTAGAGACAGTGAGTAGAGACAGAGAGGACAGGTAGAGACTCAGGACGGGTAGAGACAGGACAGGTAGAGACTCAGAGGACAGGTAGAGACAGGACAGGTAGAGACAGGTGAGGTAGAGACTCAGAGGACGGGTAGACAGGACAGGTAGAGACTCAGGACAGGTAGAGACTCAGAGGACGGGTAGAGACAGGACAGGTAGAACAGGACAGGTAGAGACTCAGGACAGGTAGAGACAGGACAGGTAGAGACTCAGAGGACAGGTAGAGACTCAGAGGACGGATAGTGACAGGTGAGTAGAGACTCAGAGGACAGGTAGAGACAGGTGAGGTAGAGACTCAGAGGACAGGTAGAGACAGGACAGGTAGAGACTCAGAGGACAGGTAGAGACAGGACAGGTAGAGACTCAGAGGACAGGTAGAGACTCAGAGGACGGATAGTGACAGGACAGGTAGAGACTCAGAGACAGGTAGAGACAGGTGAGGTAGAGACTCAGGACAGATAGAGACACAGAGGACGGATATGACAGGACAGGTAGAGACTCAGAGGACAGGTAGAGACAGGTGAGGTAAGACTCAGAGGACGGGTAGAGACTCAGGACGGGTAGAGACTCAGAGGACAGGTAGAGACAGGTGAGGTAGAGACTCAGGACAGATAGAGACACGAGGACGGATAGTGACAGGACAGGTAGAGACTCAGAGGACAGGTAGAGACAGGTGAGTAGAGACTCAGAGGACGGGTAGAGACTCAGAGGACAGGTAGAGACAGGACAGGTAGAGACTCAGAGGACAGGTAGAGACAGGACGGATAGAAACTCAGAGGACAGGTAGAGACAGGTGAGGTAGAGACTCAGAGGACAGGTAAGACTCAGAGGACAGGTAGATTTGAGGCTTTTCCGTCCTGCTCTGATCAATCATGTGATCAATGATGTCAGGATCTAAACACTCTGGTCCTGTATCAGGCTCATGTGTACTGAGTACTGTATGTACACAGTAAGCAGTAGTACTCTGTAATACTCTATAGTACTCTGTAGTACTCGGTAGTACTCAGTAGTCTGGTTCCTCTCACCTTCCCCTCGATGACGTCGAGCACAGAAGAAAAAGTCATCCGTCGCTCCTCCGGCATCACGAAGCGATCGCCGCTCACGGCGTCGGCGTAGCCGTTGAGGGTCACCGCCACGCTGATGACCTTTGACCCCACCTTCTCCCTGCAGACAGGAAGCGCCCTGAGCGTCACGGACTACAGAAGAAGAAGAAGAGTGCGGGTGAGGGTGGGCGGGGCTTCCTCACCTCAGGTACTCTGGAGTCCACCTGGACAGAGCCGGCCAATGGTTGAAGGCATTGCGGATGACGCAGGGCTTGTTAGGACCAATCCAGTCGCGGTAGAACTGCAGCGGGTCAGGTGGCTCCTCCAGGTACGGCACTGATTGGTTCAGATACAGATCTGAAAGGTCATCAATAAACAAGCGCTCTGATCAGCTGACTCAGCAGATCGCAAACAGCCAGGTAGTACCAGCTAGTACCATCAGGTAGTACCAGCTAGTACCATCAGGTAGTACCAGCTAGTACCATCAGGTAGTACCAGCTAGTATCAGGTAGTACCATCAGGTAGTACCAGCTAGTATCAGCTAGTACCATCAGGTAGTACCAGCTAGTACCATCAGGTAGTACCATCAGGT